ACTTTAATGCTCACCCACACCTACAAGATGTTGGTGAAAAGCTTGTTGAGAGGTGCAAAAGATTACCATTGGCACTAAAAACACTTGGTGGTGTCTTGCGGGGAAAGCATGGTCTTGATGAGTGGAAAAAAATATATAACAGTAATATATGGAGTTCAAAAGATAAAACTAAAATTCTTCCTGTTTTGAGATTGAGTTACAATGATCTTCCTTCTTACTTGAAGCAATGCTTTGCATATTGTGCTTTGTTCCCTAAAAAGTATGAATTTGACAAAATGAAGTTAGTTAAATTGTGGATGGCTGAGGGCCTATTACAATCGTCACAAGAAAATGAGCAAATGCCAGAGGAGATTGGTCTCCAATATTTCCAAGAGTTGTTATCAAGGTCACTCTTTCAACCGTCAAGTAGAGTTGAATCGCAGTTTGTGATGCATGACCTCATAAATGATTTAGCTATAGCTGTTGCTGGAGAAATACATTGCAATCTTGACCGCAGCATGGGTGATGGAAAATTAAAGAAAGCTCGTCATTTGTCATTTACTCCACACTTATTTGAACTCCCAAAAAGATTCGAAGTCTTGGAAAAATTGAAGCATTTGAGAACATTCTTGTCACTAAGAGCATCCAATTACTACTATGTCTCTTATTTGTCTAACAGAATCTTGCATGATTTCTTGCCAACTTTAAATCGCTTAAGAGTGCTATCTCTTAACAATTATGAGATAAGTAAGCTACCAGATTTTGTTGAAAAGTTGAAACATATTCGGTACATTGATTTGTCTTGTACAAAAATCAAATGTCTACCTGAATCAGTGGGTTCTCTTCTCTTCTTGCAAACATTGTTATTATCTGGTTGTAAAGAGTTTACTGAGTTGCCTACAACGATGGGAAATCTAATTGATCTCCATCATCTTGATATCACTGATACGCCATCTTTAAAGGAGATGCCATCAGAAATAGGCAATCTTAAAAATCTTGTAACACTGCCCAAATTTATTGTGGGGAAGGCAAGTGGAACGATGATGAGATTATCTGCTTTGAAGAACTTGTCAAAACTTCAAGGAAGACTGTCTATTCTAGATCTGGGAAATGTTTTGCATGTTCAAGATGTTGTGGAGGCCAATCTAGACAAGATCCCTGGTTTGAAAGAGTTAGACTTGCAGGGGTGTTGGACTGCTCCCGATGATGATCGAGATGAATCAATACTCAGCTGCTTAAACCCTCATTCAAATTTGAAAAGTCTTAGAATTTCTAGCTATGGTGGCAGGTGTTTCCCAAACTGGGTTTGTGATCCATTATTATTTTTGAATTTATCATCCATGGAGCTTGGGCCTTGTCGTAGATGCACTTTGTTACCATCACTTGGCCGACTACCTGTTCTCAAAGAATTGTTTCTTCATCGGATGGAGGGAATAGAAGTTGTAGGTTCTGAGTTTTATGGGGGACAAGGTTGTTTTCCATCATTGGAGGAATTGATGTTTACAAGCATGGACAATTGGAAGGAATGGACTTCTCCAAATGGAACTGAAGGTGATTTCCCTCGTCTTCGTAGGCTTGTGATTAATCATTGCCCTAAGTTGTTAGGCCAATTACCTAGCAACCTTTCTTCACTTAAAGAGTTGGATGTTTGTGGTTGCAATGGGATGCTTTTGAAGAGTACGGTTGATCTCACTTCACTCACTAAATTTGAAATTATGAAAATTTCAGAACTGACTTGCTTGCCAAAGAGTTTAATACAGGCCTTGACAACACTTGAGACTCTGTCTATTGTATGGTGTCAGGATCTTACTTGTCTGTGGGAGGAAGGGGCAGAAATAGAACAAAACCTCTTGCCTTTCAATCTTAAGCATCTTAGCCTTTGGGGATGTAGAGCTTTGGAGTCATTACCCGATGCAATTATGATGAGGATGGATGAAAGCAGTAGCAGCAACAGTACTATGTTGATGTCGAGACTGGAAACGTTGAAAATTTATAGTTGTCCTTGTCTCAAGTCTTTTCCAAGAGGCAAATTACCCTTCTCGCTTAAACACTTGAGCATAGAATACTGTGAAATTCTTGAGTCTCTACCAGATATTGATGGTGACAATAATAATAGCAATCTACATTTGGAAATAGCAAATGTTCCATGTTTGTATTCTTGTGAGGATTGTGATCAGCTACCAGTTTTTCTCAAGAAATTTAAAGTTTGGGACTGTGAATGGTTGGAATCCTTTCCAGATAGGATGTTGCAGCATTGTACTAGACTCCAATCTATTAAAATTTATGACTGTAAAATATTGAAAAGTATGCCCAACTTTGATTGCGTCAACAATCTCGTTGAATTATTTATTTACCGTTGTGAAGTTTTAGGGTCATTACCAGAAGAGTTGGGGTTATACACCCCCAATCTGAAGGATTTGAAAATAATCAACTGTATGAATTTCAAATCCCTCCCAAATACGATGTACCAGCTGAAATCTCTTGGAAGGCTAGAGATGGGAGACTGTCCCGGCATCGAGTTCATTCCAGATAGGGGTTTGCCCCTAAACTTAAAAGAGCTTCTATTACGGTGTAAGAATCTCAAGCGGCTGCCGAATACAATGTACCAGCTCACATCGCTTCGGAATCTAGTAGTCGCAGGTGGGGCTTTGATGTCTCTTCAACGGTTGGCAATTGAGCAGAAATTCCCTCAGGATATTGTGCTGCCTTCTTCTTTAACCTGGCTTCATATGGAGTCTGAAGAAAATTTGGAATCCATACCTGGGGGGCTCTTCCAAAATCTAAGCTCCCTTCAAAAGTTATCGATACGTAACTGCCCGAAGCTACAATCTTTGCCGAGGGAAGCCTTCCCTCCCTCGCTTGGGCGACTATACATCCGCGAGTGTCCGCATCTAAAACGACAGCGCTTTGAGGAGAAAGGAGACTACTGGACTCTCACATGTAGCATCCCAAACGTTCAGATATATGAGGATAAGGTAATAAGAGCTTGGTGTGAACCGAAACAGGCATCACCATTTTATGCTTTTCATATGAGATTTTAGAAAAATTATAATAGATAACACTTTTCTTCGACTTCTGCTGCCTTTTCTTATATATATGTGTTGCACATCTTTTTTGTGCAGGATCCTTTTGTGAGCTAGCTACAACCAATTGTTGAGGTAAACAAAGCCAAGCCACTCCGACTAGTACTTCATTTATTCCCTGGATTCATCAGTTGTATATTATTATATACTATTTATTGTCCACCTTAAATTTATTTTCCTTTGAAAACATGCATGCATTCACTTGCCTCAAAAATGGCTTACGCTTTCAGATTATTTTGAAAAGGGATGAGTGGTTGGCCTTGGCATTATGGAAATTCAAAACGACCAAGGAGCTCACTGCTTGCAAAATGATGTTCTTAGGCAAGCCAACCAATTTCAATTTTAAATTCAATTATTGCAGGAGCTAATGTTTTCCATTTTGCAGAATTGGGAAGATTTTTGAAACAAGGAGTTGCTGAGGTTGAAATGAGGTTTTTCTGTAAGCGAGAACTAGAATGTGGATGACCTTTGCTGAATTAAGCAAGCTTTTAATTTGACTAAATCAAGTTGCAGTTTTACAAGTTTTTTATTCAGGAAAGCAGAACTTACCCTGTAAGTATCTAAATTACCTCTTAAAAATTGTATTGTGATGCCTACTTGGTTTGCTATTTTTGTTGTTTAGGACAAGGAATCAAAACCGATATGTTAGGCTATCTCTATGCTTCATTTTACTTGAGCAAAGTTATACATTTTGATGATGATATACTAGTCTATTCCTCTACTATCTGTGATGTTAGTTGCCTTAGAATTAAATTATTATTTCCCGTTCCTTCCATTTCTTGATTAATACATATTGGTTGCATTAAAGACTGTCTAAATTTTTGTCATATATTCTGCAATTTAAACTTTTTTTTTTTTCAGAATTTATAGATTTCTATAGCTTTGTGTTATTATTTTACTTTGATTTCATTTCAGCAATTCACTTATCCATCTTTCCTTTCTATGTTATCATTGATACTTTTTGTTTTCTTAAAGCTCTAAATGAATTATTTTCTCAAATTTCAGTCTAGCCTTTGATTTTTCTAATTTCCCATGCTTTTTTTCATGTTCCCAGTTGCTTGTGCAGAGCACAAAGCAAAATCTTGTTAGGCCTACGTAGGACCCCTTTGTTTTGTGACTCCCTTTTTCCCTTTATGTGCCAGAAGTTATGAGCATACTCTAAATTGTAGGGGTACTGTTTGTACCCTGTTTAATATTTCATTTGCTGATAAAAAAATTGTCATGTGCTTGCTCATTTCTATTCTAATTGATTTTTGTTGTCCGGTATTTGTTTTACCAGCTATTTGTATCACCATTTTTCTTAATTTTGATTCCAATGCATGGAGATTAGGTAGATATCAATAAGTTAGTCTCCCACATGAGTTCCCTAGCTTGCCTCCATTCCCATCTTCTTATTCATCTCACATTTCCCATAATTATAGTGATTGCTTCCTTACTACCGTGCAACGTCCAACTTAGTTCATGATTTAAATCTTATAGCATCTGATTAAACCTTTTACCTTTTTCAAGTCAAGTATAGGATTAATTAAAAGGTTGATCTAAGATTCCAAGATTTCAAGTTCAAGCCTCCCTTTTTAGGCAAGATATTTCTTCGACAAGTAGGTCCTGGATGCTTTGACATTAATGTTGCCTTTCATATGGGAGATGATGCTTCGAGGATGATGAGTCAGAAATGAATGATCCAACTTTGTACTGTGTTCCCTCTATATTCATCCTAAGTCACATCCAAGATTGCAGCACAAACACTGCTGCTTTATCCGCTGCTTTACCTAAGAATGGGCTGACTTGGAAAGCAGCTTCAAGATCTAACAAGTTGATGAAAAATGGTGGTGTTCACAAATCTGTCGTAGTTGCTGGCTTGCAGCTATAATCTTCTACCCTGCAAAGAATGCCCTCTCTGGGAAGGCAGGTTCACTTTCTCATCCCTCGGTTGTTCAGAGTGATTCTCTATCATTTCATCAAAGATAATGCTAAGCTTTAATTCATTTTTGCAGGACATGGATTTTCTTTGAGTTTCTCTAGTAACTTCCCTTGATCAATTCTCTAAATCAAGGACAATTCGAGGATATATATAAAGGTGGATGGCGTAAAGCTTCGAGGCAGCATTATGCACAAATCATTTCGAGGTGCATTGTCACATTTTAATCCTTTAACATGCGCAAATTTTAAAATTTTAAATCAAGTCGTTAGTTGCAGGAGAACTTATTATTAGGCTAATTTATGCCATAGTCAACTCTGTTAACTAACCATTTTAGTTTCTTATTTCTTCAGGATTCTTGTGTTGTATCTATCCATCCATCTGGTGTTAAGAAAACTCTTCATGAACGCATACATGAACTGCATGGAGCTGGGACTTTGGATGTATTAAGTCAGTGGAGCTTTGAATAACAGCTGGTGGCTGGTTTTGATCAACATTGCAAAAACAGTGCAGAGGCTATGAGAGTGAGTTGCAACAGCAATAGGAAGGTTAGTAGAGGAGTCATGGTTTTACTCGATGTCAACAGTGATTTGGTCTCCAATTCCTCTTGGTACACAATCAGCACACTTTATGAGATTCCCAATTTGATTGGGGATTTAGACTTCTAGCTTTATTTTGGTAATGATTAATACATTAGTGATCCAACAATTTTATTCTTAATGACTTCTTGTTGTGTACAACCTCTAGCATTTCCTAAAGTAGAGGACACCTTGTAATAATGCTATTTTTAAAGTGTGTGTCTCTTACTGGATTAGATTCCGTGGTTTTTTCCACTAAAGGAATTATCACATTAAAAACTCTAGTGTCTTGATTTTGTGGATGTGATAATTTTTATTTTTGTTAGTTGCTTGACTTATTTTTGAGTTTGATTATTTTCCATTTAATTGCATAGAGAGAAGAATACAAGTTGAATGTATTATATACGCAAATTGGTTTTTGATCCATGAATCCCCAAAAGCTAGAAAAGCTTGCTTTTTTCTTTGTAATACCTCTTCAAATTCAATTTATTAGCTGTGCTGGATGAATTTTTTGGTGGTAGACCATAATTGAACTTGAGTATACCTTCAACCCAAAGACGGCTTTAGGATTTGATTCATATACATATTTTTGAACTCAATTGAATAAAACATATGATTGTTGTTCTTAAAAAAAGAAAGGTAAATGATTTATATCCTGAAGGAGTATTACTTAAAATTAGGAAGAGAATGATCTCTATATTTTATGGCTGTGAATAGTTTTATATATAAGAAATGAAATATTAACATCATTAGTACATTCACTTCAATTGAACACTGAACAATACTCTGGAGCTGGAAAGGTCAGGGATAATATCTGATACCAAGCTATACTTATATTACAAGTGACATCTAATATTTAAATTTGAGATTATTTTTTTTTTTGCCTAAGGAAAATATGCAAAATGAAGCATTTGAATGACAAGTTAAACCTTGGGACTGTAATCTTGGGATTCTTGAAATGCCATTACATCCAAGCCTTTGACAGGGTTTAAAACAATCTTTTGTTCTAAAGCAGCATTTGTCAGATTAAGAACCACCCATGGATTGGTCTCTATATAAATATACTAAAATGGAAATCAAGGGCTCAAAGGCAATTATGTTCACATGCAAATTCCTATTACTGGTCTTCCAAGTTGGAGAGACATATACTACCATATCCACAAAGAGATGAATGCAAGAAAGGTAAATAAATTAGCACAGATAGAAAATCTAGTTTAAATTGAAAAGACGCAAAGATTGAGCAGATATAAAAGAACATATAAAGAAATCTTACCACACTGCTCCCAGTTTATCAAAATTCACCAGCCATGTGCTTGAACCAGTCTGTGTAGATAATACACAATCCACCCAAACCCGAAACCTTTTTCCCTGCTTGTCTCCATACCACCCTTTCAATTCATGTATGCGTTCATGTAGAGGTTTCTCAACACCAGTAGGACGGACAATTACAGCAGATGGATCCTGAAAAAGAAAAATTAAAATGGTGGTTCTAGGTTATAGCTATATAAAGTACATTTTGGTCAAGCATTTAAGCTAAAAGTTTTCTTCACCTGCCAGTTTATTTTTTAGGATAAATTTGTTTTCCTAATTTTCACAATAAAAGCTATATACTTCTATCTATACCTATACTCAAGTTAATTCATCAGCCAACACTCCAAACTGCCAGGGACTTTTTATTTTCACATGGGCATGATATATAAAGCATGCAGAGTAGGGATACATTCTCAACATCATGATAATCAACCTGCAGAAAGAGCACCATGTGGAATTAAAGTAACTAATAGCAGTACAAGCATGACATCAGTCCGGAGTGAAGCAAGAAATTATGAAACCTACCATTGTATGATCAAGATCAGAAACTATCATAGGACGTGCAGAAGCACTAAGCCAAGAAATGAATTTAAATAAAGCTTCAGAAAATCACCTGTGCTCGGATTGATATAAGGATTACAGTTCAGGCATTCCAGTGATACAGCAGGAACAAGAAATGAATAGAATTTAAATAAAATGTTAAAATTTTAAAATTTTAAATCCAAGTTGTTAGTTGTAGGCCTTATTATTAGGCTAATTTATGCCATACTGAAGTATGTTAACCAACCATTTTAGTTTCTTATTTCTTCAGGATTCTTCTGTTGCATGCATCCATCCATCTGGTTTTGAGAAACCTCTTCATAAATGCATACATGAACTGCATGGAGCTTGGACTTTGAATGCAAACAAGTCAGTGGAGCTCTAAATAACAGCTGGTGGCTGGTTTTGATCAACATTGCAAAAACAGTAGAAAGACGGTGAGAGTGAGTTGCAACAGTAGCATGAAGGTTAGTAGAGGAGTTATGGTTCTGCTAGATGATCGATAGTAATTAAACTTTGCAATAATGATATTTTTTATAGCAGATGTTTTTTACAGGACTAGTTCCGGTGGGTTTTTTCCCCTTAAGGATTTTTCTACATTAAAAAAACTAGTGTCTTGATCTTGTAGATGTGATCATTTTATTCTTGTTAGTTGCTTGATTTATTTTTGAGTTTGATTATTTTCAATTTAATTGCACACAGAGAAAAGAGTACTAGTTGAATGTGGTATTTGGTGAGCTCTTTGAAACAATGTGTTATATAGGCAGATTGGTTTTTGATCCATGAATCCCCCAATACTAGAAAGACTAACTTTTATCTTTGTGATCGCTATTCAAATTCAAGATATTAGCTGTACTGAATGGAGTCTTTGTGGTAGGATATATTTGGACTTATGTATACCATCAACCCAAACAAAGCTTTAGGATTTGATCTATATACACATTTCTGATGCTGTTCTTAAAAAAGGAAATGTAAATGATTTATTCATATCCACCTTAAGTTTAAGAACTCAGTTCAAATAATAATAAAAGTTACGAAGGGAAAGGAAATGATCTCATATATTATATATCCTATGGCTGTGTATAGTTTTATATATAAGAAATGAAATATTAATATCATTAGCACATTTACTTCAATAGAATACTGAAGAACACCTTGGAACTGGAAAGGTCAAGCACAGCATCTGATATCAATCTAGAAAAGCCAGGTTGAAAGGTCTTTCATTTTCGATCCTTGCAACCACGTCTATTGTACATGCATCTAGGTGAGCCCATGTGAACCATTGCCCTCCTGAAATCCACAAATCAATCATCTAAGCAAATCATTCCAAAAAGCTGGTTTACACATTATAATATTCTAGCTTTCTTACCTTAGCACTAATCTTTCCAGTGGTTGCACAATAGCACCGCACATTACCTACAAAAGTCAGCACAAGAATATCAGTAGAAAAGCTAACTGTTAGTAACAGCCCTAAGTATGAGTTACTTTGTAATCAGTCTCTGGTGTATACTTAACTTAAGTGACAGCTAATATCTGAATTTGAAAATGTTTTTTTTTTTTTTTGGGTAAGGGAAAATACATAAAATGAAGCATTTAGATGACAAGTTAAACCCTTGGAACTGTAGTCTTTGGATTCTTGATATGCTATGACATCCGTCTTTGACAAGGGTTTAAAACAATTTTTTGTTCTAAAGCAGCATTTATCAGATTAAGAACCACCCATGGATTGGTCTCTATATAAATATACTGAGAAGGAAATCAAGGGCTCAGAGGCAATTATGTTCACATGAAAATTCCTATTACTGGTCTTCCAAGTTGGAGAGACATTTACTACCATATCCACAAAGAGATGAATGCAAGAAAGGTAAATAAATTAGCACAGATATGACATCTAGTTTAAATTGAAAAGATGCAGAGATTGAGCAGATATAGAAGAACATATAAAGAAATCTCACCACACTGCTCCCACTTATCGAAATTCACCAGCCATGTGCTTGAACCAATCTGTATAGATAATCCATGATCCACCCAAACCCGAAACACTTTTCTCTGCTTGTCTCCATACCACCCTTTGAATTTATGTATGCGTTCAGCCAGATTTTTCTCGACACTAGATGGATGGACAGTTACAGCAGATGGATCCTGAAGAAAGAGGAATTAAAGTTGGTGGTTCTTTCTGAACATAGAGCATAAAGTATTCCAACAAGAAATGAAAAGTGGAAACAGCATTTCTTAGTAGATTCATTAGATAAAGAAAATCAATAAAAGTTAATGCCAAAGATGTCAATAGGTTCCAGTCAAAGTAGATCTAAAATGTAACTTAGTCCTAATACTGGTTCTAGGTACAGCTACATAAAATACATTTTGGTCAAGCATTTAAGCTAAAAGTTTTCTTCACTTGCCAGTTTGTTATTTTAGGATAAATTTTGCTTTCCTAATTTTCACAATAAAAGCTATATGCTTCTATCTATACCTATACTCAAGTTAATCCATCAGCCAACACTCCAACTACCAAGGACTTTTTATTTCCACCTGGGCATGATATATGGAGCAGCAGAGTAGAGATACATTCTCAACATCATGATGATCAACCTACAGAAAGAGCACCATGTCCAATTAAAGTAACTAATAGCAATACGAGCACGACATCATTCCGGAGTGAAGCAATAAATTATGAAACCTACCATTGTATGATCAAGGACGGAGCCGATCCATGACCACTCTACTGCAACCTTTAACCCTACAATGAAATTAATAACTACCACAATTAGACGCTTCTATGTGAATTTAAGTTATGAATTCTACAAAATGGGACAAGTTTGAAATCGCAACAGAAAGAAGTAAAAACGCATGGAAACATGGAAATCGAAAGCAGTTGCAAGATTCTATATGTCCTTATGATTAAAATTTAAGTTGTGAATCCTACAAAATGCAAAAAAAATCTAGAAATGAGTTTCAAAACCAAACACGAATAGGCAGAACGAATCGAATCATCGGGATCAGAAACAAAAACACAATACAACATTCAGAAAATAGGAAAATTGATTCAAAGCTTCAGAAAATTACCTGCGGTTGGATTGATGTAAGGATTACAGTACAGGGATTCCAGTAATACAGCAGAAACAAGAAATGAATAGAACAGGTAAAGGCATTGAATCGCAGAAATTGAAAACAAAAAATTCAACGAGCAAGAAAGCTTTACCTGCCTGCAACCAGAGGCGATCCATTCAAACCTTCGAAAGAGCAGCTGCAATGGAAAGAATTGAGGTATGAATTTATCTAAAATTTTTAGATAACAATTTGGTTTCATCCCTATAGTTCCACCGATGAGTGCCACCGATGAGTGCCACATCATCATTTAATGCCACGTCATATCCTACATGGCACATTGAACGTAGGCACCTTAACGATCGTTTAACATATTATTAACCTTGGGGGACTAACTGCTGGATAACTTCAGTTAGGTGATTATTTTGTTGGAGTTTTGAGTTAAATGACGAAAACGTTGATTTGGATAAAGTTGGATAACTACCCATGAGATTCACCCATTACTGAGCTAGGAACATTTCTGGAAAAATCTAGTTTATTTAATGGAATAAGAATCCGGCCAAAAATATACATAATCGAATAAGAAAGTGTTTAATCTAACACGAGGGAAAAAATAAAAAAAAAATAAATCTTTTAATATTTGATTATCATAGAAATTTAAACTCCCATAATCAATCTTAATGACAAGAATTATAATATTACGGAATCATAAATTCTCTAAAATATTTTAACTAAATTGTCATCTTCACTAAAATTGAAGAAGATGTAATTTTTTGAAAGAAACATTCAATTTTAATTAGTTGAGCCATGATTATGTAAAACATGCATGTTAATTAGAAAAAAATTACATATTCTTCAATTTTGGTGAAGATGACAATTTAGTCCAAATATTTTAGAGAATTTCATATTCTTGGATAAATTGAAGCATTTGAGAACATTCTTGCCACTAAAAGCACTCAGTTACGAGAATGACTTCTATTTGTCTAACAGAATCTTGCATGATTTCTTGCCAACTTTGAATTGCTTAAGAGTCTTGTCTCTTTGCAGTTATCAGATAAGCAAGCTACCAGATTCTTTTGAAAATTTGAAACATATTCGATACAGTGATTTGTTTGGTACAAAAATCAAATGTATACCTGAATCAGTGAATTCTCTTCTCTTTTTGCAAACACTGTTATTATCTGGTTATGAAGAGCTTACTAAGTTCCCTACAATAATTGGGAATCTAATTGATCTCCATCATCTTGATATCATTGATACATTATCTTTAAAAGAGATGCCATCAGGAATAGGCAATCTTAAAAATCTTGTAATATTGTCCAAATTTATTGTGGAGAAGGCATGCGAAATGATGAGACTATTTGATTTGAAGAACTTGTCACAACTTCGAGGAAGACTATCTATTCTAGATCTACAAAGTATTTTGGATGTTCAAGATGCTAGGGAGGCCAACCTAGACAAGATCCATGGTTTGGAAGAGTTAGTCTTGCAGTGGACTACTTCTGATAATGATGAAGATGAATTGGTCCTAGAAATGCAAGCCCTCAAGAGGTTAAAACCTCATTCAAATTTGAAAAGTCTTGAAATTTCTTGCTATGTTGGCAAGAGTTTCCCAAACTGGGTTTGTGATCCATTATTATTTCTGAATTTATCATCCATGAAGCTCATCAATTGTCAGAGATGCACTTTGTTAACATCCCTTGGCCTACTACCTGTTCTCAAAAAATTGATTATTGGAGGCATGGAGGCAATAGAAGTTGTGGGTCTTGATTTTTATGGGCGGCATGACTCTTTTCGATCATTGGAGGAACTTGTGTTTCAAAACATGTTAAATTGGAAGGAATGGACTTCTACAACTGGAAGTGTAGGTGAATTCCCTTGTCTTCATAGGCTTGTGATTCAAAATTGTCCTAAGTTGTTAGGCCAATTAGCCAGCAACCTTTCTTCCCTTAAAGAGTTGGATGTTAGAAATTGCAATGCCATGCTTTTAGAGAGCATGGTTGATCTCACTTCCCTCACTAAATTGAGAATAAGGGCAATTGCAGAATTGACTCGCTTGCCTGAGAGTTTTGCACAGTCCTTGACAGCAGTTGAGACTCTGTATATTGAACAGTGCAATGATCTTACTTGTTTGTGGGAGGAAAGGAGAGAAATAGAACAAGGCCTTTTGCCTTTCAATCTTAAACATCTTAGTCTTGAGAGATGTGGAGCTTTGGAGTCATTACCTGATGCAATGATGATGAGGATGGATGGAAGCAGTAGCAGCAACACTAGCATGCTGATGTTGAGACTAGAAAAGTTGGAAATTTATGGTTGTGATTCTCTCAAGTCTTTTCCAAGACGCAAATTACCCATCACGCTTAAATACTTGAGAATGGTAGACTATATGGGTCTATAGTCTCTAAAAGATGCGGATGGCGACAATAATAGCAATCTACATTTAGAAACAAGGAATGTTCCATGTTTGTATTCTTCTGAGGGTTGTCATCAGCTACCAGCTTTTCTCAAGCAATTTACAATTACTGATGGTGGCGAGTGGCTAGAATAATTTCCAGAGAGAATGTTGCAGCATTGCACGGGACTCCAATCCATTGATATTCACCACCGTAAAATGTTGAAAAATTTACCCGCCCTTGATTGCATCAGCAATCTCCTTGACTTATCTATTTTCGACTGTGAAGCTTTAGAGTCCTTACCAAAAGAGTTGGGGTTATGCACCCCCAATCTTAAGTCTTTGAGAATACAACAATGTGAGAATTTCAAATCCCTCCCAAATACCATGTACCAGCTAAAATCTCTTCAACAGCTATGCATTGCAGACTGCCCCGGTATCGAGTTCATTCCAGATGAGGGCTTGCCCCCAAATTTAACAGATCTTCAATTAGAAGACTGTAAGAATCTCAAGTGTGTGCCGAATGCAATGTACCAGCTCACATCACTTCAAATTCTAGGAATCCCAAGTGGGGCTTTGACGATGGGCCTCCAAAACCTTACATCTCTTCAATGGTTGGCAATTGAGCGAAAATTCCCTCTAGATATTGTGCTGCCTTCTTCTTTAACCTCTCTTCAGATCTGGAATGAAGAAAATTTAAAATCCATACCTGGGAGGCTCTTCCAAAACCTAAGCTCCTTTGAAACGTTATGGATCTCTAACTGCCAAAATCTACGATCTTTGCCAAGGGAAGCCTTCCCTCCCTCGCTTGGACAACTATGCATCAGCGAGTGTCCGCATCTAAAACGACAGCGCTTTGAGGCGAAAGGAGACTACTGGGCTCTCACCTGGAGCATTCCTTGCGTTTTGATAGATGAGGATGAGGTAATAGGACCTTGGTGTGAACTGAAACAGGCGTCACCATTTTATGCTTTTCATATGAGAATTTAGAAAAATTATAACAGACAACACTCTTCTTTGACTTGTGCTGCTTTTTCTAATATATATGCGTTGCAAATCCTTTCTGTGCAGGTTGATTGGTAGAGCGATCTAGCTACAACCAATTGTTGACGTAAATAAAGCGAAGCCACTGCTCAATGTAACTAGTACTTCATTCATTCCTTAGATTTATTTTTATTTTTATTATAATTTATGGGTGATGAAGTGAAGTCCCATGTAAATTGCCTAAAACATTATATTCTATTTATTTTGCGTTGAAAATATGCATTCAATTGCCTCAAAAATGGCTCATACTTTTCAGATTATTTGACAGGGGATGAGTTGTTGGCCTTGGCATTACTGGAATTCACAAATATATTGATAAAGCCACAACCACGAATGAGGTTGCAAGTTGCAAAATGAGGTTCTTAGGCAAGCCAACCCATTCGAATTTTGAATTCATTATTGCAGAACCTCATGTTTTCCATTTTGAAGAATTAGGGAGAGTTTTGAAACAAGAATTGAATTTTGATTCAGAAGGATATTCTCAATGGTACTCGCCTTTCCTGCCACATGTCTTTTGTTGTTTTTCGATCTGGACTGGCCTTTGTACATATTAGATTTTTCTGCTAGCTGGAACTAGAAAACGGATATCACCATTGCTGAATTAAACAATCTTGTGTTCTAATCATGTCAAGCTACATATTCTGTGAGTAACCAAATAACCTGTCTAAAATTTTATCATGCTACCTATTTCTCTTGGTTGTGTTAATTTTTAGGATAAGCAAAAAGTGATATATTTTGAAGAATTATATATCATGATATCTCTACCTATCATTTGCAAAGTGATACATTTTGATGATATAATTGACTTTGGTTTTGTCTTGTATTTGTGTTAGCAGCTATTTGTATATATGGTTTTTTTTATCCTAATTTTGATTCCAATGCATGGAAATTAGGTAGATATCAAGAAGTTTGTCCAACTTAGTGTCCACATGTTCCCTTATTTGCCCCTCCCCCATCTTGTTCTTATTTATCATCACATTTCCCATAATTTTAGTGTCTGCTTCCTTGAAACTATGTAATGCCCAACTTATAATTAGTTCTTGTCCTTTTTTTATCTTACAGCATCTGATTAAACCCTTTGCTATTTTCAAGTCAACTACAGGATTAGTTAAAAGGTGACTGATCCAAGATTCCAAGTTTAAGCTTCACTTATTAGGCAAGTTCTTTTTTCAACAAGTAGGAGCTGGATGCTTTGATATTAATGCTTCCTTTCATGCAAGAGGTGAAGCTTTTGGTATGTATGATGAGTCAGTAATGAATGATCCAACAATGTGCATTGTGTTCCCTCTTTATTCATCTTAAGTCACAACCAAGATTACGGCATAAACACAGTTGCTTTAACTGCTGCTTTACTTAACAATGGATGTACTTGCAACGTAGCTTCAAGATCTAACTCAATGAAAAATGGTGGTGCTCACAGGATCTGTCATAGACTCATAGTTGCAGCTACAACCATCTACCCTCCAAAGAATGCTCTCTCTGGTAAGGCAGGCTTCATCTTCTCATCCCTCAGTTGTTCAGAGAAAGTCTCTATCATTTCATCAAGATAATGCTAAGCTTTAATTCACTTTTGCAGGACATGGATTTTCTTTGAGTTTTTCTTGTAACTTCCCCTGATCAATTCGCTTAATCAAGGACAATTCAAGGATATTTATGAAAGTGGATGGAGTAATGCTTCGAGGCAGCATTACGTGAAAATCATTTCAAGGTGCATTGTCACGTTTTAATTCTTTAATATGTGCAAATTTTGAAATTTAAAATCCAAGTTATTAGTGGTAGGTGGACTTATTATTAGACTAATTTATGCCATACTCAATTATGTTAACTAACCATTTCAATTAATTTCTTATTTCTTCAGGATTCCTTTGTTGTATATATCCTTCCATCTGGTGTTGAGAGAAGTCTTCATGAACTCACACATGAACTGCATGGGGCTTGGACTTTGAAATATATCAAGTCAGGGGAGCTTTAAATAATGGCTAGTTGCTAGTTTTGATCATCATTGCAAAAACAGTAGAGAGACAGTGAGGGTGAGTTGCAACAGCAGCAAGTAAGCTCAGTAGATTAGTTAGTTCTGCCAGATGATCAACAGTGATTTGGTCTCCAGTTCTTCTTGGAACACACTGAGCACACTTGGTGAGATTTATCCCAATTTGATGGGAGATTTTGACTTCCAGCTTTATTATGGTGATGACTATGACATTAGTGATCCAAGAATTTATTCTTGATGATTTATTGTTATGTACAACCTCTGTTGTTTCCTAAAGCAGAAGAAACTTTGTTGTTGAGTTTGATTATTTTCCGTTTAATTGGGTACAGAGAGAAGAAGAATACTTGTTGAGTGTGGTATTTGGTAAGCCTCTTTGGAACAGTGTATTATACATAGATTGGTTTTTTATCCATGCATCCCCAAGCTTGAAAAGCTCATTGTTATCTTTCTATTCCATATTCAAGTTCAAGCTATTATCTGTATTGGACTCTTGGTGATGGAGTATAATTGGACTTGTATATACCATCAAGTCATCAACAGT